TTAAAGGTGTGAGCCACCTCCATTGACTTGGAATGAGCCTTTTAATAGAAGCATTCTTGGTCCTTCCACTCTTGCTAAAGGCTTCGCGGGACTCTCCACTGTACCGCGGATAGACTACCAGGTCTTCCACCTCGAGCCTTCTCCTGCACTTCAACTCAAATTTCCAAAGCCCACTGGATCTCCTGCAGGGTGCTCAGGAGAGACTGGGAGTACCATTCCACAGCCTGCGCTTCTAAGACACTTGTCACTGCTCTAAAGCACAGAGAAAAATAGGGCACAAGGACAGCATCAGGATAAAAGTGGTCAATTAAGGGAGGAGAAGCCAGTCAAGAGGAGGAGGTCTCAGGCACAGAGCGAGGCTTCAGGGAAAGCCATCTGAAACCACAGTAGTTGGGATAGATAGAGCGAGCTACCAATTGAGGGTAAAAGGAGGACTTTTGAGTTTAAACCCACCTATAAAAGTGAAAGCAGACAAGCAGGGATTAAGGAATAAGGAGCAGGCTATAAGGATGAGAATCTACCATGGCAACCATGGTCCATTTCCAGGCCTGCAGAGCGGTGGCTCATGGGAATTTAGTGTTAGCTTTATGAAACAGGGCTGAGGTCAGACTGCATTCAAATTCACAATACTCCTGTCTCAGACTCCTGAGTGCTAGGACTAAGGTCATGTCTCACCACACTAAGCTGGGAAATTCAGTTTCTAAGGATGGGGAGATAAGAACATATTTGTAGATTAAAGGAGGGAGCCAGTAGGATTACAAATAAATCCAAGAGTGAATACAGCCCAGCCTCCAGGGGGAGGGTTTTTTTGGTTTGGTATTCTACCCAGACAATCTGACTGACTAACCTCTTCAGAGAAATCCAACATAGAGGCATTTATCCAATAAAAGGGTTGGATAACTCTCCCCTAAAGGGAACTATTTTAGACTTTGTAGCAAGAGTCAATGTTAAGGATATTGTGTATACTTACATACTGTTTTAAACACAGAAACCTATTTTTATTTGAGGATATGTTGTGCATTTTAATATTCATTTGCAACAAAGAAACCTATTAACTTAAAGGTTGTGACGAAAATAGGCAGCGTAAACAGGAGGTGCATTGATTTGGCCCAAGTCATATCTCTGTTGTGGAATATTATTTTAAGATGTGTTACATTTGTTTATGCTGTGAACCATTTGTTTAATGATACAAAGACGAGTTGCATTCTTTTATGTTGCATTTGTTTAACTCTGCGAAGTTGTGTTACTTTGCCTGTCTCAAACACCTAATTGGTCTAATAAAGAGCTGAATGGCCAATAACGAGGCAGGAGAAAGGACAGGTGGAGCTGGCAGGCAGAGAGGATAAATAGAAAGAAAAGAACATGAGGGGAGGAGCAAGAAAGAGAAAAGGGAGAGGAGGATACAGGGGTCAGCCACTCAGTCACCCAGTCAGCCATGGAGAAAGAAAGGTATACAGAAATAGAGAGAGCTAAGAGCCCAGAGGCAAAAGGTAGCTAGGATAATTTAAGAAAAGCTGGCTAGAAATAACCCAAGCTAAGGCTGGGCATTCATAAGAAAGAGTAAGCCTCCCTGTGATTTACTTGGGAGCTGGGTGGTGGGCCCCCCAAAAGAATAAAGAGTAAAACAAAACAAACAAACAAAAACCAACCAACAACATATCTCACTCAATCAATTTAAACCAGGCACCTGGATTCTCACACTAGAGACTTTTGGGAATTTCTTTTTTCCTCTGTCCCTCCCCTTCACTCTTGTATGTAGCTTTACCTGGCCTCAGACTCACGGCAAGCCTCCTGCTTCTGCCTTTCTAGTGCTGGGATTACAGGTTTGCATCCCAGCTCTCATTTATGTGCTTTCTAAGTCATGCCCATGATTACAGCTGTCAGTTATTCATATTTATTTCTATTTGTTTTGCTTTGTATAGTTCCCAGTTATGATTTTAGGGACAATAAAGCTCATGGCTGTTGGATCTTCTTGGTGAACTCCTCCTTTTTATGAGATATTCTTTAAAATTAGTTTTGTCTTTAACTCAGTTTTGTTTGATATTAACAATTATTTTTTGTTTTTATAGCATTTGCAGTCTTTTTCCATATATTCTAACTTGCTTTTCTTGTTTTAGGCATTTCTAATTCCATGTAGCTAGGATTTAAAACTTTCCTTTACTTCATCTGAATATGGTTAAGAAGATTTATTTATTATGTGCATGAGCTTTGCTTGCAGTATGTGTCTCATGCCTGTGGAAGGTAGATGCGAGAGCATTGGGTCCCCGGGAGCTGGTGTTACAAGTGATTGTGAGCTGCTACGTGGATGCTGGAAACCAAACCTGGGTCCTCTGCAAGAGCAACAAACACTCTTAACTACTAACCTATCTCTCTGGCCTCCTCATCTAAACATCTCTTTTTTTTTTTTTTTCCCAAGACAAGATTTCTCTGTGTAGCTCTGACTGTCCTGGAACTCGCTATCTAGACCAGGCTAGCCTTGAACTCCCAAGTGCTGGTATTAAAGGTGTGTGCCACTACAACAGGCTATCTGAACACCTTTTAATAAGTAGGTTCAACCTACTTGCATCTATAAATAGGATCCTTTGTGCTATTATTCCCATCTTATTATGTTTTTTCCATTTACCATGTTTTCCCTCCTCCCTTTTCTCCCCACAGTGCTGGGGATGGAGTCCAGAGCCTTGCTTATACCAAACGTTCTACCACTGAGCTACATCCTCAGCCCTATCATGATTTTGTTTTTAAGGAAGTTGGACTTTTACTGTGAGTTACCTGTACAGATAACTGCAGTTCAAACACCCTGTAATTAGCACTTGGCTTTTTATCATGGCCTCCTCGGGATAGCTCTTGGTGACCACCCCCTTACAAGGTCTTGCGTTCAAGAGTCAAACATGGCATATAGTCTGTTTGTACCAAACCCAGGAGGTAACAGTTTGGCATTTCCTTGTGTCCTTTGCTTTTTTAACTGCAGTCTTTCTGTCACCCTGTTTACCTACACCTTTACTGGAGATCAAAATCCAGTGTCTCGTACATGCTAAGCAAGTGCTACCACTTAGCCACACGGTTCAGTTCTTCCTCACTGTCTCCCAAACCCACTTACCCACATTTATTTACTTAACTTTGCAGCCTTTGTTCTTAGCTTGAACAGGCTTGAACCTCTTCTGTGAAGAATGATTAGGTAAGAAAGGACAGTTAGTAGTGGCATTTTACTGGGAAGTCTCTGAAGAGGACCCGCCTCAGTGACTCGTAGGAGAGCCTTCAGCAGGTTCCCCTCAAGTCCTGCTATGGTCATCAGCCAACACACACACTATTTAAACTCTCTATGCTCCAGTCTCTTTATCAGTGTAGCATACATGAGCAGCCCCTCATGGATTGCTGTTTGCAGGTGTCAAGACTAGATGGAGCTGGGCACGGGCATGGTGATGCATGCCTTTCATCCCAACATTCGGGAGACAGAGTTCCCGAGGCCAGCCTGGTCGACATAAGTGAATTCTAGGACAGCCAGAGCCACAGAGTACGGCCCTGTCTTCAAAAACAATAACAAAAAACAAACAAACAAAAGGCTGTAAGAATGACAGTTGGGATGTGCTTGCTAGTATTTCAAAGAACTTCTCCTCCTTCGTAGGACTGAAATTGGCACTCTTCTGCTTAATACTTTTGTGAATACACATGAATAAAAACAGCAAAGGGGCACTGAGATAGATGGGCACACCTTTAAAAAAAAAGGGACTATTTATCTGTGTAATGGTAGTTCAGAAACCATACCTTGGATGTAGCGGTCACAAAAATGCATTTCTGAGTCAAAACTTTTACAATGTCTAGGTTTTTGAAATGGGTGTAGGAATCAGGAACACACAAGCTAAAATCTCTATGGCTCTGTACTGTGGTGTGTCCCTGAGTGACAAGTGCAGGATTATAAACCTACAGACCTATTGCTTTAACACACAGGCATACACATCCCCTGGCTGATAGCTGTGCTGGGAGGAGGTGCTCAAAAGCAGAGGCCTCTCTCCTCAAGAGCTGCCGGCACTGCCATGGAAAAAGAAGAAAGAGTGCTCTGGAGAACAATTTTTTTTTTTTTTAGCATCATGAACTTAAACTTGGTCTCTATTTCAGGACCTCTTCTCTGAAAACAAACAAAACTGTCTCACCCGAGAAGAGAGCTATTGGCATGGTGGACACAGGCATTGTGTCTGCCTTTCAGGATGACTACACTTGTTCTTCCTCTGTGTGACAATTGTACTTTATCCAAGAAGCAAGATTCTCCAGTTCACTTAGTGCTTTATCTTTTCATTCCCCATAGAACGCTTATTTGTAACAATGACCATGATCTGATACATACTGTTAAGATGGAACTTTCACCTTATGACAGATCAGCATAAATACCTCGCAGGGGGCTGGAGAGATGGCTCAGAGGTTAAAAGAACTGACTGCTGTTCTGAAGGTCCTGAGTTGAATTCCCAGCAACCACATGATGGCTCACACCCATCTATAATTAGATCTGGTGCCAAGAACACTATATACATAATAAATAAATTTAAAAAAAAAATAAATACCTCGCAGGGTATTTCTTTAAAAAAAAAACAAAACAGTATAACGATGATGTCTAATGATCTCACACAGCCGTCTTCAGAGCTGACATCATGGCTACAGGTCAAGGGCCTCTGGCAAGTGACTGATCCGTCATTCTACTGAAATGTTCATTGTTTATCAGTTAAACTTGAAATAAATCAAGAGCAAAATAAAACAAGGAGAAAACCCAAGATCTGCTGCACAATGACTGTGCTTGGTCATGGGAAGAAGACTGAATTTGAGTCAGTCTATCTGAATTCTGAGAAAGCAACCTCGGTTAAGAGTCCTTCACTTTAAATTGACAGCGCTACCTTTATGGTCGTCTACAGCCTTTCTAGGGTTAATCTTCCACGATCATCAAGTCTCTGACATTGATTCCTTAATTGATTCTCATGGGGTAAAGTGAAATCGCTAATAATGCAAACTCGGCAACCAGTTCCACCTGTACACACCAGGTCGGGTCTTTATCTCCTGTGCCCCACGTGATCGCTGTCCTTACATTAACAAACAGCTTTAGGTTCCCTAGCAGATACAAACTCAAAGTACATAGTTTCATGACAGATTACAAAGCCAGGGGAATCAGAAGAAAAATCATAACAGAAGAAATATGAGTAGACCCCAAGACATGCTCTTTGGTGAAACAATATAAGTAACAGAGGAAGGCAAGTTCGTATGTTAATTATACTCATTGCTAATGCATATTAACTATTCTTTGTGAACATGTGTAAAAGATATACCCAAAATTAGAACTTCATGGACACATTTAAAGTCTAGATATGTAATTGAGTGTTTCTGGTACTGGGACTTGGAACATGGTGTTTATCACACGTCCATGTGTTTCTCATTCTAGAGAAGGCACGACTCTGTTTACCCATACTGACCCCCATTGCATTATCTGTAAGTCCACATAATCACAGAAATTAAAGATGCCTGAGCCCTGTCAGGGCACTGGATCCATCGCTTGCTTTTCTTATCAGACCAATCTTTCTGTTCTGAAAGACTGGCTGAGGGGCTTTCATCATTTCCCCATTTGAAAGTCAAGTAGACTTTATCTCTTTGGATTCAAGGTCTAAGTTTGTCCCGTTTCTTCCTAATTTTTAATGGAATTTCTATCTCAACTGTATTTATACAACCTTGCATATTTAACTATGATTTGCATTGTGGAAATTAATTTAGCTCAATAAACATGACTGTGCAAAGCAAAATTACTTAGAAAATGTTAGGTTTTCTTAATAAACATTTTCCTTGTGCAAAAGCACTGGAACACTTTCTGTTTAGCAGTAGGCATTGTTTTCAGTGCCTGCAGGAGCCTTGGGGCATTTCCCACATCTAACCTGTGGTGCTTCCTCAGGAAAGGTGAAACTCACCCACTTCCACTTCTCTCTCCAGAGGACTCAGGATCTGCAGCTAGAGGGTCTTCTCCTAACTAAAAATTCCTGACACCCATTGATGGCTTCACCAGCTGGTTATTAGATTAGATACTGCCTGTTTGTCATTTGCATTGTAAAATATAGATCTCAATCTTCACAAATATAAAATTATTTAATATACTATATAAATGACTATGTACATTTAGACTGAATGTGCCTTTTCAGACTATCTAGCCTCCTGTTCTCCATTCCTTATGAGACTGTGGTATTATTTCCTTTTGGGGGTAAAATATTTCTCTTGACAATCACTAAAACAAAAACTAATTTCTCAATTAGTTATTATTTAGGATAAAGTCCAATAACTAAAGTTGAGGGGAAAAATAATTAAAAGACAGAAATAAATCATTCTATTAAAAATTACATTGATGATCCAATGAATATTATAACTGAATATTTTCATATGATTAAGCCAAATTATTTAAACTTTATAGTTGAAAACTAATACAGGGACATGTTTCTAAATGACCTGTCAAAGGCATCATGTAATGCATATTTTATATAGATCAATTATAGCAGCCAAACATACTGCTTTTATTGGTTAAAATAATATTTTGGGCTTTTGTTGTCGTCGTCAACTCTATGGCCTACAAGTTACATCTTTATTTCTTTCTTTGATATTAGAATTGGGAGTTCTTGATTTCCCAAATAAATTTTATCAGTTTCTATCTTGTTTGGCAACTTATCACTGAATCTATACAGTATCGAGTAAAAACTGCCCACTGTAACACATGCTCCTCTGGCTCATGCCGCAGCACAGAGATTTGGTAGGAATATAAAGTGACCACTTCTGTCAGCAATACCAATATTTGAAATGTGTTCATCTTTGCAGATGCTGGTACAGTGAAACTTCTGTGTACTCAGAAACTAGGAGGAGAAGTAGAAATGTGCACAGAAGCTTAGAGACAGTTTGAGAGTAGACTGGAAAGAGAACAGAACAAAAGCCAGGCCTGGAAACCAGGACAAGGGGCTTCATATAAAACACTGCAGGCTCTGCTGGATAAGGCACAACAGCTGGAAATGGTGTCATTGACACCAGAGAGGGGCCTGGTCCTACAGGCATCAGTATTCTGCATCAATGTGCTTTGCAATGGTGTTCAGCTGGATGTTGGAGGTTCCTTCATATATTGTACCTTAAACAAAGGGGAGAAAAAAGGACAATTAGGAATTCACCCACAACTGAAAAGACCCTTAAAAGACAAGAGTGCTAAAGATACCAGCCCTGCATGTGCCGTAAGTAACAGGATTCAATGTCCAAAGTAATTCTGACTAAGGTAACAATTTCCCATTTGATCTGTAGAGGACTAGAATCAGCTTTGAACAGCTGAGGATTTAGTTCTCAGAGCATCAGGGGATAAGCCCAGCTGCTTCTCAGGACCTAGCAGCTTTCAGAACTGCTGTTTACTCTCCTCCCTGCTGGCGGAGCACTGGAGCACTCGGGAATGATGAGGCAGCTGCCTTCTGAAACCAGAAGCATACTTCAAAGAACACTATCAGACCACAGGAACAGCAAATACCGACAGTTTTAGCAATAGAAAAACGAAAACAATGGACTTTGTCACAGATTTCTTAAAAGATCCACTGGGGCAATTTGAGAGTCAATTCGATGTTTTTAGAAATATAAATTCATTTTTTTTCTGATAGGACAAAGAAGGAAGAAATCCAGCCACACAAAAAGTCAATAAATATACCATGGAGATTAAAAATGCTTTTACTTAAGTACTAGTAATACAAAATTGACTATAGCCCAAACACCCACAGTGGCAAAACAAAACAAAACAAAACAAAACCCAAAAAACCCAAAAAACTAAACCATCAAAAATCTACTTACCAATCTTTGCATCTCGGAAGTATTTCTCCACAGGGTAATCTTTGGTGTAGCCGACTCCTCCCATCCACTCAATGCACTTACTTGTCGTTAGTCCAGCAATCTACCAAAGGCAAGGTTGCAAATTACAGACTGGAAGGCCACACACCAGTGCATGATGAGCCTGTGAGTGACCATTTCGGGAGCACAGATTCGCAGTGACCAAGTGGAAGGGCTGCCGTCATTGCGTGAGTCTCCACACCATTTCTCTAAGCTACCCTATCGAGTCACAGAACTTTCCTCTCTTTGAGAAAGAAATCTGACTTGTTCATATGCACATGTTTGCTAACAGGGCATCACTCATCAGCAAACGCTTATTGAGGGAAGGAGAAGCAGGACACTGCCCCTTTGGTCCTTGTGTTTGTAACACAGATGTTAAACCAGTTGACATAGAAATTTAAAAGTTGCAGAGATAAATAAATAAATAAATAAATAAATAAATAAAGCTGCAGAGAGTAGAGGAGCTTGTCAGAATAACTGTTATGGTTTAGATGGTAAGTGGAGGAAACAGCCTGGCTGAGACCCTCAACACCAGGTAGGGGCATTACAAGTTGAGGAACGACATGCACAAGGCCCCATGAGAGCAGGGGCCCATTGTTCTCAGGGACCAGAGACTTGGGTCAGGGTGAGAGGGGAGGAGAGACTAGAAGGGCACGCAGGCCTTGGAGGAAGGCAAGCAGTTTGACCACTGTAACGGCTCCTCAAGGATGTCCAGATAGAGTCCAACTCCTAGAAACCAGATGTGCTTGCTATCTTCCATGACAACAGAGGGGCTTGCAGCTGGGATCCTTGCAGTTAAGGATCTGAGGTAAGAAAATTATCCTGGGTTATTGAGATGGAGCAGGTAATCCCAACAGCGCTTCTAAAGGAGGAAGGACGCTGGAGGGCTAGTCACTAGAGCCAGTTTGGCCACAGCACCAAGAGGGAGTCGAGAGAAAGAGACCCCTGAGTGTGCTACAATGCTGCTCATGAACAGAGACGAGAAAGCTATGAGCCAAGGATGTGAGCAGCTCTTGGGAGCTGGAGCATTTCCCCTGGAGCCTCCAGACAGCCTTTCTGCTAACAGCTTCATTTGATATCTGCAAGGCCCGTTTTACACTTCTGACCTCCCCAAATGGCAGCTGATAAAACTGCTTATTTCAGGACACTAGCTTTTGGGAAATTTGCTTGCTATGTAGCACTGTGAGAAATCAATCTGAATATTGTTCCATTTATTGTGAGAAGTCAACGAAAAGTTCAAAGTGACATCACGGACACCAAAAAAGACATCGAGATTGGACTAGGGGCAGCAGTCCAGGGACCATGAGAGCAGGTAGGTGACCCAAGAGTTAGGTTAAGGAGTGATGCAGCCTGGACAGAGAGGTGGCAGCAACAGAGAAAGAGAGAGGGGGGTGGGGGAGGGGAGGGGGAAAGAGAAAGGGAGAGAGGGATGGAAGGAGGGAAGGAGAAAGGAAGGGATGTGTGTGTGAGAGAGAGTGTGTGTCTGAAGTGTCTGGGGGGGGTTAGGCTTTCTCTGGACATCATCGAGACACCGTTCAAATAGTCAAACTGTTCATCCCCCTCCAAGGCCAGCCTGCCCTTCCGGTTTCTTTTCCCCTCTTATCTTGACCCCAGTTCATGGCAGTCTCTCCTTTTAGGAGTTATAAGTTATAAGCATGTGTCAGCATATCCAACCTGTAGCCCATGGGCTGTATGAACCATAGGAAAGTTAGGAAAGCAGCCCAACACATGTTGAGATGAGAATGTCCAAGGGTTGGACACTCCTAAATAATCCTGACTCGGTGTCAAGACTGGGAGAGACCTCTCCATGATGTGGGCCAACTCCCCTGCCATAGTTCCACGTGCACACAGAGAATGGATATGTCCAAGGAGAAGGTATTACGCATGTAGATCATCTTTTCCTGGTGTTCGAAATCTCGTGTTCCTGTCATGAACACATTTTCCATGGCACTCACTTTACTCCAACTTGAAACCATGGGCACGAGGCCACCACTCCGAGGAGGCCTCTATGCACTTGGGGTGGTGTGTTTTAACCTGAACTGGTCATTCAGGAAAACACCGAGACACCACAGAAGTAACACATCTTTCCACAGCCGAGTTACCCTTCCGCTCTTCTACTGCAGGAAGCGGAAAGTGAACATTTTCTTCCTTGGAGGATAACCTAAGCTCAATCAATATTCCCAAGTGAAAGATTAATAAGCTCATGATTAAAAACAAGGAGACCGAATGACTCCTTCTAGTTTACCTCTGCTGCATAATATTTGGCCATAGACGCTTCTTTAATAAAGGGCCTTCCAGCTTCCAGGAGCCTGGCAGCATTGTACGTTAGTAACCGTGCGGCTTCCAGCTGGGTGGCCACCTGAGCCACTTGGTGTTGGAGCCCCTGTAACATTCAGACCCATGTTAGAAAATGACAACTTGCAAAACTCAGCTTACCTCTGACTGCCAGTAGGACACACAATGCTCACAGACTCAAAATCCACCCCAAAGGAACCCAAGCACATTCCTTTTACATACCTCAAACCTGCAATCGAAAGCGAAATAATACACTGCAGGCATTATTGTTGAATCTTTTTTGAAAAATTTCAAAGCTCATGTAATCCTGAACGGTTTGTTAAGGTTTTAAATAATGTCATCATAACGTTAGGTTTTAAAACCTTGACTCTCACATTTAATAATTACTTTTAACCGCTTTTGATAAAAACTGAGCTTACATGAAGTCCCAATATAACAAAGCAATTGAATATTATTTGCTTGATTGAATTAAGAGAATTTTGATTTTTGAACATGGCCTCAACACATTAAGTTGTTAGCTGTAAATTAATAAAAGAATATCTGAAGCACCAATTTTCGCCCGTCAACTAATTTTACTGATGTGAGTCGATTCCAATGTTCAAGAACAGATAGGAGTGCCGGGTGGTGATGGCGCCTTTTATCCCAGCACTCAGGAGGCAGGTGGATGTCTGTAAGTTCGAGGCCAGCCTGGTCTACAAAGTGAGCTCCAGGACAGCCAGAGCTGTTACAGAGAGAAACCCTGTCTCGGGAAGAAAAGAAAGAAAGAAAGAAAGAAAGAAAGAAAGAAAGAAAGGAAGGAAGGAAGGAAGGAAGGAAGGAAGGAAGGAAGGAAGGAAGGAAAAAAGGAAGGAAGAAGGAAGGAAAAAAGGAAGGAAGGAAGGAAGGAAGAGAAGGAAAGAAAAAGAAAGGATAGCAGTTACTCTACTTTAAAAACTTTCAATTTCAATGTGTGTGTGCACATGTATATGCATGTGTATAGATGTGTGTGCATTTGCCCGTGTGTGCTTGTGCGAGAGCAGAGAATGCTATTGTCTTCCTCTATGGGTCTTTATTTTCGGAGACAGGAGTCTCACTGAACCTGGTGCTCATTCTCCTGGCTGCTGGCTAGGAAGCCTTTGGGATGTGGTACCCTGCACCAGCACTGCCATTTCAGCCTCAGCTTCTTTCTGCGCTCAGGTTTCCAAGTCTGCCCAGCAAATACTTTATCTATTAAGCCATATCCCCAGCTGCCATAGATTCCATTTTTAAAGAATGACTTTAAAAAAGCATATTTAAAAGTTACTATCACCCTGAAATTTGCTTCTGTGATGAGGTAGTAGTACTAGGTGCCTGCCAATGACTAACATGACTTAGTGAGAAAATGAATGTCAACTGTGGTAGTGATAAACAGTCTGCCAAGCCTTGCTGGGGCATGGAGGGGCATACTTGTAATCCCAGGGTTTGGGAAGGAGAAACAAGAGGGAGGTGCTGAAGAGCATGTTCAGCCTGGGCTACACATTGAGGCCCTGTCTTAAGATAAAACAAACCCCAAAGACCCAATTTTCTAAAAAATATAGCTTCAATGTTTACTACAGACTGGGATGATTTTCATGTCCATTCAAGCATTCACTGTATGCTAGTTCTACGTTGTAGGATGGGAGGCACCACAGTGAACTTATAGCCAGAATTCCTTGTCCTCATGATTTGAGTCTAAGAAGAATAATCGACTAATAATTTCAGTAATATGTGAGGATTAAGACATTCTCAATTAAAGCAAGTACTTAATAATTCCATTAATGAAAAGCCTTTCCTAAAGGAAAGGCGTGAAAACTAGGGGGGGGGGATTGCCTTATAAATATCTAATAGACTCTTTTCTTTCTGTGATATTTGATATTTACACTATTTTGATATGCACAAAGCCTATCATAGATATGTAAGGTATGAAGCATCACGATAAACGGGACACCTCTAAACTTCTGCAGAGAGTATCTCCCTGCTATGATATGTCATCCCTTTCTGTGTTATGGGCATTGAACTCAGGGCCTTATGCTACATACTAGGCAGGCACGCTAGCATCAAGCCACACCCCCAGCCCACTATGATGTCTTTTATTGAGGAAAATTGATTTCATAATCAAATTCTCTGCTTTGCTTTCTTTCATTGTCTTCCTTCCTTCCTTCCTTCCTTCCTTCCTTCCTTCCTTCCTTCCTTCCTTCCTTCCTTCCTTCCTTCCTTCCTTTTGACATAATGTTTTGGTATATATCCTTCCTGCTGGCTGGTTTCCTACTTGTTCTGTACCTGAGGCTGGTTCTGAAGTCAGGGCAATCTTCCCGCCTTCGCCTTCCTCATACTAGTATGTGCCACCTGGGAAATTTACTAATTATTTTCCTTTATAACTAGTCTTTTTTATGTCTCACTTATGAAATCCTTTCTTACAGCCGGGCCGTGGTGGCGCACGCCTTTAATCCCAGCACTCAGGAGGCAGAGGCAGGCGGATCTCTGTGAGTTCGAGGCCAGCCTGGTCTACAAGAGCTAGTTCCAGGACAGGAACCAAAAGCTACGGAGAAACCCTGTCTCGAAAAATCCAAAAAAAAAAAAAAAAAAATCCTTTCTTACTTGAATGTCATAAACATAGTCTCCTACTTCCTTTCTAAAAATTTAAACTTTTTTTTTCCCAGGATTTCTCTGATGTATCTGAACGCTTCTGCTATAAGAAGCAAAGATAATTTCTCTTTTCCCCCACATGGAGAGAGTAGTCTCCCTTTGTGGCCTATGAAGTTGCTTCTACCATGTATCAGTCTGCACACATGCATGTCTGTTGCCGGCCTTTCTGTCTTTGCCGATGAGTCAATTTTCCTGTTTTATATTTATGTTAGTGTTCTATTGGTTCTGATGTAGAATTCAGAGATTATAGTCATTTTTGCAAAACACCTTTGGGTCGATTAAGAAAGTCACCAGAGCGTTTACTCAATAACCACATGAGGTACCATGGGAGGCAGAAAGATAACAGAGGTATGCCTCCTGCCTTGAAAACCATCCCCCCCCCCAAAAAAAACCTTCTAATCGCTAGATATAGGTTCCCTGAGTGCACAATAAACACAAGGCATTGCATGGAAGACATGCTCGAATCTATGCTGAAGAGTCAACTGAGAGACATAAAGGTGAACTGCCTAAGGTGATCGATCCTTAAAGCTCTGGAGCCGAGAGATGACAAGGATGCCAGTGACACCTCTGATGGGGGATGCCCCTCTGTATGCTATGAATATGTTTTATTACCATTGGTATTAGAGAAGCTGTTTCGGCCAATGGCTTAGTAAAGTCATGTGGGAAATCTGAACAGAGATAGAAAGAGAAAGCAGGCAGAGTCAGGGAGACGCCATGTAGGTGCCAAAGGAGAAAGATGCCAGTCGCCAGCCAGAACCTTACCTGAAGGCCACAGTCTCGTGGCAATACACAGATTAGTAGAAATGGGTTAATTTAAGATGTAAGAGTTAGCTAAAAATATGCTTGGCCAAACACTGTTATAATTAATAGTTTCTGTGTGACTACTCAGGTCTGAGCGGCCAGGAAACAAACAAGCAGTCTTTGCTTACACACATCCAGATGAAAAACAAGTCACTTTGGTGAGAAGATAGTCAGATATTACCCTACTAACTCTCACCAAAGCTTATATAGTTAATGATCAACCCCCCACCTTTGAGACAGGGTCTCTCTACATACCCTGGCTGTCCTGGAACTACATAGACCAGACTCACAGAGATCTGTGTGCTCTGCCTCCCGAGGGCTGGGATTAAAGGCATGTGCCACCATGCCTAGCATGATCAAACTTCTTTCTTTCTTTCTTTCTTTCTTTCTTTCTTTCTTTCTTTCTTCCTTCCTTCCTTCCTTCCTTCCTTCCTTCCTTCCTTCCTTCCTTCCTTCCTTCCTTCCTTCTTTCTTTCTTTCTTTCTTTCTTTCTTTCTTTCTTTCTTCTTTTCCTGAGACAGGGTTTCTCTGTGTCCTTAGATGTCCTGGAACTAACTCAGCAGATCAGGCTATCCTTGAACATCTGCTTGCCTCTGCCCCACAAGTGCTGGGATTAAAGACACATGCCACCACTGCCCCAGCGATCAAATTTTTAACATCAAATTCCTGCCTCAAAAAAAAAAATCATACACTCCAATGGTTTTTAAAAATGCTTCCACTGTTAAATGCAGTAGTTTACCTAATCCCTAGTATATATAAAGAAAAAATGAGCTGGGCAGTGGTGGCGCACGCCTTTAATCCCAGCTCTCAGGAGGCAGAGGCAGAGGCAGGCGGATCTTTGTGGGTTCGAGGCCAGCCTGGTCTACAAGAGCTAGTTCCAGGACACGCTCCAAAAGCTACAGAGAAACACTGTCTCGAAAAAAACAGAAGAAGAAGGAGGAGAAGGAGGAGGAGGAGGAGGAGGAGGAGGAGGAGGAGGAGGAGGAGGAGGAGGAGGAGGAGAAGCAGCAGCAGCAGCAGCACTGACTCCTAGCTAACAGGGAAAATCAAAAGCCCCCTTTAACCTGTCTCACTGTTTGCCCTTCCTGCTGCTACCTGGAACCTACCTCTATCTTGAGACAGTATGCTACACTGAAATGGAAATTAGACTAGAAGCCATGACAAAACATTACAGCAGCTACACAGCTTTGGGACCCCATCTTCTATGTGTCCCAGTTTCTCTTGTGTAGGATGGGGGTGGTTGTAGGCGCTATAGCCAGTACAGGGCAAGCAGTCCTAACCCGAAAATCAGAAATCCAAAATGCTTCAAAATCTAAACCCTTTTGAGTATCTAGATGGTGCCACAAGCAGAAAGTTCAACCCATGATATTTCGTTTCATATATAAAACTATTAAAAGCACTGTATAAAATTACCTCAAAGCTACATTCAGAGTGTATAAGGAATATAAATGTTTAGATTTGCCTCACATCCCCAGGATATCTTATCATGTCCACAAAATGTCCCAAACTCTAAAAACCTGAAACCTTTCTAGTGCCAGGCATTTCAGATAAAGTTATTTGAGCCTGTATGCGGAAGAGCCAGGGCGTGAACTCAAGAGATGGTGGACTTTTGAGGTGGTGAGGAGTCAGCTCTCCAGTGCCCACCACGGCATCCCAAACATATAGCAGCTGCCCCACGGTCTACGGTTCTGCTGGTGGAAAGGATTAAGGTGGCCACAGCTGTATGCCATGAGACCTACTTCTCTTCCCAAGGAAACATCCTTGGGGGACACCTCCATGGCTTTCAACACAGGAAGAGGGAAAGCCCAAGAAAACAGAAAGAGTTTAGTTATATACACCTGAAAATCAAATAATCGTTTGCCAAACTGAATCCTTTCTTTAATGTATGGAATGGTGTAGTCAAAACATCCTTGGGCCAGTCCTAGCATCTGTTAAAGAGACAGAAAAAAAAATCAAAATGTATTTGGTTACAAGTTTATGCTTTTAGTTACCCAAGTTGCAATTCCTTTCAAGGGAGACGGAATCACTGGGGAAGGGGAGAAGGGGAATGCAGAGTGGGATGTGTTGGGTATTCCCTGTAGACCTTTACCCATTTCATCTGACCATCTGCAGACAGGATGGACTGATCTCATAAATGGAGGAGTGAGTGTATTTAATTCTAGCACAGGGGTAAATCTTTGCTACAGCTATGCTGATATAACCAGGATACTGCTCCAAAATCCAATCTACTAGGCAGAAGGTGAGCTCTCAGAGCTAAGACCAGAACTGACCCGAGACTCTAGATGGCAGACTGTTTCTCCAGTCCTCAAAGCCAAATGTGGAATGACACTTCTCTTCTTTGTTTTTGTTTTGCTTTAAGTCCAGAGAGGGAAAATCCAGGGTATGGACAAGCACTCTAGCACTGAGTGGGAGGAAGGGGGGGATGAAGGAGTGTGCCAAAACATCAGGATTTTAAAAAGCTCCGTTCAGACAACTCATGAAAGAATCTGGTAAAAACATTAATTTACACACTCAAAGAACAAGTCAGGATGGGGTAACAATTTTAGCTGAACTGTCTCATTGCTAACCAATTTCCATATCTATTGAACAAGCCAAGCTTAAAAATGGTTTCTAAACTTCAACATTAGGGAGCTAGTAAATCACTATCTCATTATGTCAAACTATGTAGGTTTAAAAAAAAAAGAAAAAAAATCAATAGTTAAAGCTTTGGGGGGGGGAAATGCTCACAAACATCAATATTTCATTAGTGTTCATTCACATTTTCTTTTAGCTTTTATTTAGTATTCTTTGGAGAACAGAAGATCATATCTAAAATTAAAAGGCCAATGCCTCCACAAATCCCAAATTAAAACAAGGCAGCAAGATTTTTGTGGTTACAGATGATGTCACCTTCCGCACGTCTCAACGGATGGGAAGATTGATTTCAATTTTTAAATATTTTTCATCATTTTTAATGTGTATGGACACTCTGTCTGCACAACATGTGCTCATAGGACCTTCAGAGGCAGAACAGAGCACTGGATCCCCGGGGACTGGAGTTACAGCTGGTTGTGAGCCTTCACGTGTGTGCTGGGAATCAAACCTTGGTTCTCCAGAGGGGCAGCCCCTGATTTTGTTTTTTTAGATAGGTTTGCTATGTATCCAGGCTGGCCTTGAACTTGCCATCTGTATCCTCAAGTTCTCAACGCTTCTGCCTCAAGCCTTGAGAGAACCGGGGTGGCAGGCATGTGCCAACATGTCTGACTTACCTTGTGCCAACATCATGGGCTTACCCACTGAAATTTATCAACTGCGAGTGAAAACATGCATTTCTATCTGGGCAAAATGTTTCCGTCTTAAAAAGTAAAGAAATAAATTCTCTGCAACTACAGAGTTTTGAGGACAGGGACTCCAGTTCACTGTACACATACCTTGTCCTCTGCAAGCCCCACTGAGACACGTTATGCACCTGCTCTTAGCATTTCATTGGGTTTAAGATATTGTAGGGTAATTGGAGTGAAGCTCATGCCATAGACTTCACGGCCAGAACTTCTATCTTATGTGTATGTCTAGGAACCATGTGGAGCTTTAATGCTGTTTCTGATGAAGTTTTATAACAAGAAAACCTTTAAAAGCACAGGTATGCCAGTATGCTTTCTAGCTTTGTTAGAAACCGAAGTTCAATCCTGATCTAAGAATAGTTTGTTAGGTTAGGGTATAGTTTAGAGGTAGAGCAGACTGTTAGTATGTTTGGGGTCCTGGATTTAATCCTCAGCAACTCCCCCCCCACCAAAAAAAAAAACCCAAACCAGTTTGTTAATGAAGTTAAGAACAGCAGAAAAAAATGTGGAGGAATAATAATTCAACATTCAACTATTTCAACAGGTGTAATTTATATCAAAATCTAAAAGCTGTAAGTTAGTAATCTTAGTGTCTGATTAAAAACTAATACTTGTCTGACTATTACTGAGTTCAGGAAGGACTTAGGGGGCCCCAACTTTTGCTGTTGAACAACCAACTACTGACGGGTTTTGGTGGGGGTGAGTCATTGCCTTCAGTTGTGTACGCACCAACAACTCCAGTAGGCTCCAGTGCATAGCCCCAACCCAATGCTCACATAGATGGCCCTGGAAATGGATCACTAAAAAAAACTTGCGGTCATGAATCCTGAATCTGATAGAATGAAGGGGTGGTGATAATTATATGTGTGTGTGCATGTGTGTGCGTGTGAGTGTGTATGATATGATATAATATACATTAAGGGTTGTGACTAGGGTTATATATACATGTGTGCATGTATATGTATGGAACCTCACATAACAGACTATATATCTTTATATAATAAAATGATTGCTTTTAATTTTAAAAATTTCTAAAAGAATCAATTTCAGGTTTTGAAAAGTTAACTGAAAAATAATGCCATATTTAGTATGTAATATACTTGGAAGTTACTGGCCTAGGTAATAGGTAATACTGTGATGGGTTCAAAGTAGAAAACAGCTATCACTAAGCCACTGTTTGTTCTTCTGGACACCTTATATAATTTGCCAAAGTACAATTTGAGAGAAATCATCTGAACCCATTCCTTTTCCTCATGCAAGGGCAGGGTGCCACCTTGTGTTCACGAGCTTCCAGATACTGCTCTTATTGCATTTTTTAAAAAAAGCTTTAATTGGCTTGAAATGAGCAAGAGCTAAGATGTGACTTACCTGTGCAGCAATTCCTATTCTACCTTCATTAAGACTTCCTATGGCATACTTATAGCCATGTCCAACTTTTCCCAAAACATTGGTTTCTGGAACCTGAAAATACAAATGCATACTTACTTCTAAATTTAGATTTACACAATTTGTTTTGATTCCAAATATATATAACATGAAAATACACATATGCACAAGCGAATGTATGTCTATCCCCTGTTTGTGTGGCAATACTCTATCACAGTATTGAGTAAGCGTCAGTGAGAGAAGTGGCACAGATGGCCCAGCGGTTGGGAGTGCTTGTTTTTCCAAAGGACCTGAGTTCAGCTCCTAGCACTCAACATGATGGTTCACAACCACCCGCATCTCCAGTTTCGGGGGACCTGACATTCTGAAGGCACCAGGCACCCATGTGGTACACATACATGTATCCAGGAAAAACACTTATACACAGAAGATAAAATAAAATCTAACACAATTAAGAAAAAATACTGCCCAAAGTCCAGTTTGAGTGCCAGCTGACTTCTGTGTCTCCTCACTATTTTCCTCAAGTCTGTGTTGCTCACTCTTGCAAACACCTGAGCCAAAGCACAATCTACTTAGTGAATGAATGAATTTAGAAAAAGGCAATCTCATATAGTTGGTCAATAACATAAATGGATAACAATTCACATTCAATTCCTATTTGTATGTTAATACTGTGAGATAATTTATTAGAAACTTCAAAAAATGTGAAGTATTTCCAAAGGCAAGAGTAAGAAACTGTTCTGCTGAGACAATTCATTTTCAGAAAAGTCTGCTGAGGTATGTGTGTGTGTTTCTGTGAGTGCACATGTGTGAGTGTGCACAGTCTTCTGCTCAATAGGAGGAGAAAGGAAGACAACAAACTATAATATTTCTTCATAATATAAAAAATTAATACTAGGGGCTGGAGAGATGGCTCAGAGGTTAAGAGCACTGACTGCTCTTCCAAAGGTCCTGAGTTCAATTCCCAGCAACCACATGGTGGCTCACAACCATCTATAATGAGATCTGGTGCCCTCCTCTGACAAGCAAGCATACATGCAAGGAATGTTGTATACATAATAAATAAATCTTTAAAAAAAATTAATACTAGAAGTGGAGAGATGGGCCAGTGGTTCAGAAGATTTGTCTATGATTTCAGTTCCCACACTCTCTTCTGGCCTCCCAAGACCAGACACTTTCTCTCTCTCTCTCTCTCTCTCTCTCTCTCTCTCTCTCTCTCCCTCTCTCCCTCCCTCCCTCCCTCCCTCCCTCCCTCCCTCCCTCCGTCTCTTGTGTGTGAACACACAAAACAGCATTCATATACACATAAAGCAAAAATATCCTTAATATAATATAGGAACAATAGAAAATACTTCGCTTTAGTTAGGAGTGAGAGCAGGGAGGAACGGAGAAGGGTAAGGGAAAGTAGAAGAAAGAAGGAGCGAGGCCCAAAGACATCTGTAAAGACGTCTCAGCACCTCCATGCACATGTGCAGTGGAACATCTGTGACGCCCCACCTGCCCAAGGCTTGCTCTAGCTCAGCTTCAGCATCCTGGAGATTTTTGTAGAGTGCTGCCTGCCTGCATTCCACTCTCACTGAGCAACATCCCCATCTTGTGGCCACCGGAGTACCGACCTCAGAATTTCTCCTCCAAGCAGTGTTTGGTTCACAAGTGCCAAGCGTAAAAATTGTAAATGTTTCAGAAGTGTGTACGTTGTAAGGACAATACGTGAGGTTAACTTCTGGCATTTGATTTCTAGGTGAGAGGCTTGACAGAAAAGTTTCCACTCTGGGTCTCGACTCTTGTGAAAAATGCCCTTGGTCAAGGGGCTTAACTGCTGGCCAGTTCCATCAAGGACTCTCCTGTGCACACACGCTTACACCACTTGCTGTTTTGATATTTCTCTTGTATAGTTCCTATAGTCCTATAGAAGGCTTATTTCTCATCAGTCTTTTACTGAACATTCTAGAATATTCTGGAATACCTACCTTGACGTTTTCAAATGTTAACTGGCAGGTGGAAGAAGCTCTGATGCCCATCTTGTTTTCCTTTTTTCCTACATGGAAACCTTCTGTGTCTCGGTCTACTAAGAAGCAGGTGATGCCTTTGTATCCCTGGAAAGATTTCAAATGTGATTATACTTGGACTTTTGTTTGGCTCCCAGAACCCACATTGTAGCTTCCAACTGTCTGCAACTCTAGTTTCATGGGATCCGGTTCCCTCTTCTGGCTTTCATGAGCATCAGACATGCATGTGGTTCACAAACGTACACACAGGCAAAACACTCACACATGTAAAAAAATAAAAACTAAATTAAAATTTAAAACAAACATAAAAAGAGTTCAAAGTACAATGAAAGTTACAGGGCTGGAGAGATGGCTCAGCTGGTAAAGTGCTGCTGGGCCAACAAGAGGATGTAGGTTTGATCCGAAGTACCAATGTAAAGAGCTGAGCATGGTGGTATGTGCCTGCAACACCCATGCTATGGAGGCAGAGGCAGGTGACTCCCTGGGGCTTGCTGGCCAGTCAGCCAAGCTCTATCAGTGAGGCCTAGGGGCTAATGCCTCAAAAAGAGCTGGGTGAGGGGAGCTGGAGAGGACTCAGTAACTAAGAGCACATACTGCTCTCGCAGAGAACTCAAGTTTGGTTCCCTGCACTACACGGGTGATTCACAACCACCTGTAACTCCAGCTGCAGTGGATCTGATATCTTCTGGACTCCATGGGCACCCGTACCCATGTGTACATACCCCTACACAGACAAACACATATACACACAGCTAAAAATTCATTTGAAAAATCAATCTTTAAGACTTGGCCAGCTCCTGAGAAACAGTGTCGGAGGTTGACGTCTGGTTCCCTCACAGTTGCGCCCACATCTACACAAGTACACACATGTACAAAAAGGAAAGAAAGCTAACATGGACCTTAGTAATAAAAACTGAAGGACTAGGAATTGCAATATGTGTGTACAAAACCAGAATAATCGGGGATCATTAGTTACTAGATCAAGAACCTTCTGCCAGATGTGGTGGTGCACCCTTTAAGTGCACCTCAGCACTTGGGAAGCTGAGGCAGGCAGACCTCCCTCTGTGAGTTCGAGGCCAGCTTGGTCTGTATAACAAGTTCTAGGACAGCAAAGGCTACCCAGAGAGGAACCTTACTACTACTTGTACTTTTCCAGAAACCACATAGGTGTTAAAAATTATTTTTATAATAAGTATGTCATCATGAGACTACCATGTTTTAAATTCAATATTCTTAAACAAATCAGAAGACAAAATAAAACAAATTTACCATTTTGCTGTATGATTTTCTTCCATCTGAATAAAATATGCTTAAAGTAACATTCTTCAATGAAGGCGTAAGTCACGACACTTCAATACTCTTCAAAGTAGGTGTATTTTACAAGTACTTAAGTCCTTCATTATTACACAGGAAAACTGAAGTTCTACTCAGTTAAAGACTAGGATATTAGGAATAAGTAAGAGTGGTACTCTATGTAATTCATAAGTTTGTCAACAATGGCTATTTTAGATGAGTAGGCATGAAAAAAAAATGGTCAATTCAACTTTACAGAACAAGGAAATAAAGCCGAATCCTAAAGAGGGACTGGAAGAAGGAAAAGAAAAAAGAGAAAAGGTGAGAAGAGGGAGGAGAGACATTTTTCTTTACACTTACAGAGGCAGGGTCTGCATTTGCGAAAACCAGGAAGAGCTCTGCATGTTCGGCATTGCTAATCCACATCTTTGACCCATTGATGATGTAGTCCTTTCCATTTTTCTCAGCTCTTGTTTTCAAGGAAAAGGGGTCACTACCAGCTCCAGCTTCAGAAAGGCAGAAGCTCCCGAGCTACACATGTGAGGGGGAAAAATTAATTGCATTTATTCTTTGCATAACAAGTCATAGGAGAAAATAGACATCGTGGCTTGTTTTGTCTTTCAAGACAGGGTTTCTCTGTGTTGCCCTGGCTGTCCTAGGAACTCACACTGTAGACCAGGCTGGACTTGAACTCAGAGATCCACCTGCTCCTGCCTCCTAAGTGCTGGGATTAGCACTATGTACTGCCAATGCCCAGCTTTAAAAATGGACATTTGTAAGTCAAACCTTTAGTTACTTTTCAAAAAAAAAATCTATATTTAGGCTGGACATGGTGGCGCATGCCTTTAATCACAACACTCAGAATGCAAAGGCAGGCAGACCTGTGAGTTTGAGGTCAGCCTGGTCTATAAGTTCCAGAGCTGCCAAGGTTACAAGAAAGACCCTGTATTTAAAAAGTCTATATTTATCAAAATAGAATTGTAATTATTATTTTTTCAAAAGCACCTTACTATTTATCTAAGGTAAAGTAAGGATTTAGGGATACATTGCTATGGAGCATTTCCTAGTCTGTCTTCATTAAGACTTCCCATGGCACACTTAGAACCACGGCCATCTCAGAACTCAGGAAGATGATGCAGGAAGATCAATGTAATTTTGAAGCTGAAAAAAACAAAATAACACATGCTTAACTTTATTCAATATAGTAGAAACTGGTACTGGCTGGCTTTGTGTGTCAACTTGACACAAGTTAGAGTCATCAGAGAGGAAGGAAGGAGCCTCAGTTGAGAAAATGCCTCCATGAAATCCAGCTGTAAGGCATTTTCTCAATTAGTGATCAGTGGTGGAGGACCCAGTCCATAGTCATAGGACTATTCCTGGGCTGGTGGTTCTAGGTTTCTATAAGAAAGCAGGCTGAGCAAGCCAGGGGAATCAAGTCAGTAAGCAGCACCCCTCCATGGCCTCTGCATCAGCTTCAGTGTCCAGGATCCTGCCTTGTCTGAGCTCCTGTCCTGACTTCCTTCAGTGAGGAACAGCAGTTCTGAAGTGTACGCCAAATAAACCCTTTCCTCCCCAGCTTGCATTTTGGTCATGGTGTTTCATGGCAGCAATAGAAATCCTAACCGAGACAAAAGTGATCTCAACAGAGACTGGGAAATGAATTCATAGAGAAGTATTGATGTCTTCTGACACAGGATCTCATGCTCCATCCCAGCCTGGTTTGGTCTCAAACCCCAGCCCCTGAGTACTAGGATTACAAACATGCACTGCCATGCCTGGCTGAAAGGAATCATCTGATGATTATTTCCTAAATTTCCACATGACAAATGAGAGGTAGGATGTATTTCTCTGGTAGCAGCAATTTATCGAGCATTGTTTGGTTGATGGATGGTGCTGCATTGTGGTCTTGGATAATTAAAGTCAATACTGCAGTTACTTTTTCCCCCAAAATATTATGAACGTAGACTCAGTCCATTTCAGCAAGTCATTTGAACTCACTTTTTCTGTCGCCAGTTTAGGAAAGTAGGTAGCCTTCTGTTCTTCTGTACCGAGTTTTCTGAGCAGGTTGTTAACTATTGTGTTCTGGATGTCACACATGAGAGCCACGGATGCATCCACTTTGGCTAGCTCCTCTATCACTATGACAGTGCAGAAAAAGGAAGCTTCTGTTCCTCCATATTTTTCATCAATTCCAATGCCCATCAGCTAAAGCAATGACAGAGGAGAAAGATGAGACAGGTCAGGAAAGTTGTTCATACTGGGAAACTTCTTACAAGTAAAAATTCAAAAATAAATTGTAAACACATAAATTACCTAGGGCCCCTTATACTAGGCAAGCATTTCATCACCTCCCAAGCTACATCCACAGCCCATCACATATATTCTGATTTTAAAATTTTATGGATATTTTAATTTGACATAGCTATTTTACTATAAATAATAGTTTATTAAAAACACTAGTTTTTTGCGGCTTTCCAATGGGTGGCCATTTGATCTTAATGTCTAAGTCTGGGACATGGAATGTCCTTAGTGCTGCCCTAGGTTTAATTGTCCTTGTTTTAGAAAAGGAACACGATGACACATACAAGTGGCTCAAGACCCACATCTGGTAGCTGAGGGGGTGATGTTCCATTTCTCTCTTGGTTCTCTTAGAACAGCATGGCTAAGTTAGGGCTATGGCTATATGTGTCATTAGGCTGTGTGTTTCATGTTAGTTAGGCTGATGCTGTAGCTGACATGAAGACAGAACCACAAAGGATGAAAAGTGCGGTGTGAGAGAACTGAAAGAGATTTCCCCTCGTGAGCAATTGTTAGCACTACTGCTTCTCTGTAAAAGTCACCAGTCCTCTTTAACTGGAAATATGTGACCGGTAACTAACACTGGACTACAGAGTTAAGAGGCATGTGAGCTACAGTAAGAGCAGTTTACGGAGGTGGGACAGTGAGCACACGTGGCCATGAATATAGATAAGAATTACTAGGGCAGGAGAGCCATTTTCAAGCCGTGACACCACCAAAGGACCCCCCACAGAGGCTGGGGGTGGGGATGGAGTCCCGTCAGCGAAGGCAGAGCTGAGCTGGAAGATAGCCCCATGGGCTCTTTGCCTCACACACTAGGCTTCTGTGTGTGTAACCACTGTGTCTCCACATAGGATTCCAGTTTTCTAAGTGTTTCATTGATAACAGAAAGTTAGGAAAATCATCAAAAGCTGATCCCATTAAAACAAGAAGAAATGAAATCATAAGGCTAAAAAAAAAAAATTATGGCCCAAAGCCACTTTTCAATGAGGTGACAGACAAGACACGGAGGGCCGTGCTGAGCAGCAGTGACTAGTTCTGGCACATCCTTAGTATTAAAAAAAAAAATCCATTAGCACCTAGAGAAGGGAGACACCAGGAATGAGTATGGTGATCGTTTTGTTTTTTCGAGACAGACTTTCTCTGTGTAACAGTTCTGGCTGTCCTGGAACTTGCTCTGTAGACCAGGCTGGACTTTAATTTAGAGAGATCCACCTGCCTCTGCCTCCTGAGTGCTGGGATTAAAAGCATTTACCATCGCCCGGCTCAGTATGGTGACTTTTAAGACATTCTTCCACGGAGTTCCCACACTGATAACACTCTGCTCACAGCCAGAGTAATTCTACTTTAATCTATTTTATATGCCATACTCTCACAGAAGGGCTATATGAATTACAGAGCTGGAAATCTGGTTAATGCGAAACTCAGATATCAAGTTTAAGAGTTAACATTGCTCTGCTTTAAGACTGCCACACATACAAGAACCACACATATGTCTATAATGTACATTGTTTGAAGGAACTAGCTAGTTCTTTGTTGCAGCTGCCCTGCGCAGTGTAGGATGCTGAGTTAGGAGTGTCCCACACCTCTACTCCACCAGATGCTAGTGGACTTCTTTAAAAGCATTCACAATTTAAACTATCATTTCAGTTAAAAATCTTTAACTGTCTAAAATCAACTAAGACCTTAACTGAAAAGAAACACAGATAATTCTGTCTAGGAGTGAGGAATTCACTTTGTTCATTATAACCTCTCAATTAAAAAGTCTGCATATATTTTAAAATATATTTAAAAGTAGTTGGCCAACACAAAATGTAGTCCATGTTATTTGTGTGCTTTTGGTTTTTTTTTTTTTTTTTTTTTTCTCGAGACAGGGTTTCTCTGTGGCTTTGGAGCCTGTCCTGGAACTAGCTCTGTAGACCAGGCTGGTCTCGAACTCACAGAGATCCGCCTTTGTATGGGTATTTTTTGTTTTTTTTTTTTTTTTTTTTTGAGAGGGAAAGAACATGAAGTTGGGTGGGTAGGGAGCTGGGGGAAGACCTGGTAGGGGGAGGGAAAAGAATATGATAAAAATATATCATATAAAAAATTCAAATAAAAAGTTTGAAACGAGAATTATGAAACATATACCCCTTGTTGAAATAATCCTTGTATCACCGATTTATCCATTTTTGAATTTTCATCCATAGTTGAAACCAAAGGAGCAATTTGTTCCTGTGCAAATTTTTTAACTGTGAAGGAAAAAGAATTGCTGTTAAGTCTATGCTTAAGTAGATAAGATGGATATCTTTAAGAAAGAAATAGTTCATTAACAGTTTTTGATAAACTTCTACTTTTTAACCAATAAATTAAAATACACATGACTATTTTAGTCTTTCAAAATAGAAACTACAACTTCCTTCTTTAAATACAGAAAAAAGCAGTTCCCTAATCCCCTTTGGAGCAAAAAAATATAAACAATATGGAAGGTATAAAATGAAAAGGGAAAGCCTTATTCTCCTATCCTGGAGTTTTAGTTCATCTCCCCAAAGGAAACTGATGTAAACTCATCTGCTCCTTCTGAAAGGGTCTCTTGATCTTTTGTCCATCTCTGCCCAGGAGCTCTCCCTATCACTTTATTCTATTACACAGGGCAACCACAAGACACACATTCAACCTCCTCTCTGCTTTCCTTCTCCTCCTCTTACTCTTTTTATTATTACATTTTTTGAGACAGAATTTCACTGTAGTTCTCGTTGGTCCGAAACTCCCTATGAGACCAGGCTGGTCTTAAACTCACAAAGATCTGCTAGTCTCTGACTTTGGAATGCTGGGGTTAAAGGTACGCACCACCATGCCAGGCATCTATTGTCTCCCAACTCCACCAGCCCATCCCATCTAACGTGGACCTTTTGGTAGCTGCATGGCCACACACAGGAAGGTTTCTCTCCCTCAGTACTGAGAATGCTGCGGAGCAGGGAGGGCGGGCAAGCCCTCATTGTGGAGATACTTGCCCTGTGCATTGTGGGATGGTTAGCATCATGTCCTCCCTCTAAGGCTAAATAAGAGACTGGAAGGAAGCAGCTTCTAGAAAGAACTGGAGAATCAGGGAACAGAGATGGGGAAGCCTTAAGTTGTAACCTAGCCTTTTACTCTGCTGCTGTTTTTATATTACTGTGTACTACCTTTTATCAAAAAATTATATGAAACACTTCATTCTCATGACTCTAAATCCAGCTTATTTGGAGGCTGAGACAAGGTTACTAGAGCAGGGGCAACACAGCAAGATCCCATCTCAAAGATAAACAAAACAAATTCCCTTTAAGCCCCCCAAACAGAGCAACAACAACGCAGATCAACAGATCAACGTCATCTTCCAGGCAGTCCTGTCTGGCTTCACACTGTAGGCCCAGCTCCACCAGAGGGGTGGCAGGATGAAGCTGGGAAGTTTACTGACCTGTTTCTTTCATCATCATTTCCTCATCAGTAAGTGTCTGGAGAGGTGCGAAGGGCAGTGCATGATTCGTTACACCGAGCAGAGCTTCTGGCTGCGAGGATTTTAGGGCGCGAGGAGGGCTTTTCCAAGAAGACAAGCAAGCTGGGAAGTTTCTTCTTAGCTTTAGGAACAGCCCCGATTGAAGAAGGGACATACACAGAGAAGGAAGCAATTTGAACATTCGTTTCTTGGGGAGTAACTTTATCATGCACTCTTAAGATTTACTTATATGTGTGTGTGTTTCTATCTGTGTGAGTTTATTTATACCACGTCCGTGCCGGTGCAAGCCAAAGAGGGCACTGGGGCCCCTGGATCGGGAGACTTAGATGGTTATGAGCCACGTGATCTAGGTGCTGGAAACCACCCTGGGTCCTCTGCAAGAACCACGGGCACTCTCAACCACTGGGCCATCACCGCTCCAGCCCCATCACTTAGTTTTATATCCCACAGCTATATTCCAAAATAAGAGAGCTTAATTTAGCACATTTTAAAACTCACTGTCCTTTGAACACCAATTAGCTGACTACTGTATGCTATCTCCTTTATCCAGTAATGAGCTACTCTAAATAAGTTCTCTAATTAAAGATTATTTTTATGACAAAAGAGGGTATCAGAACTCACTACAGATGGTTGTGAGCTAACATAGTTGCTGCGAGTTAAACGCAGGACTTCTAGCAGAGCAGCCAGTGCTCTCAACTGCTGAGCCATGTCTCCAGTCCACTTCTGTCATAAAGGAATACATGCAGATAGAGCGTGCATACACATAAAATAAAATAAATAAAATCTTTAAAAAGTAAAGATTTATTTTTATTTTTAACTCTGTGGATGTGTGTGGTCTGTGTGTAGTAGGTATGCGTACACGAGGGCCAGTGCCCACAAAGGACAGAGGCGTCTGATGCCCTGGAGCTGGAGTTACAGGCAGCTGTGAGCCTGAAAAAGCAGAACAGCTCTCTGTCTGTCTGCCTGTCTCTCCCTCCCCACCCCGCCAGGGTCTCTATGTATAGCTCCAGCTGTCCTGGAACTCTATGCAGATCAGGCTGGCCTCAAAACTCACAGAGATCCCCCTACCTCTACCCCCTGGGATGAAAGGTGTGTGCCACTACACCAGGCTTCCAATACCGGTTCTTAATACTGAACCATCTCTCTGGGCCTAGATAAATTTTAACCGCCAAGGCAACAGGTTTTTAGATGGAACGAATTCTCTAAGCACATTTATCATTTCACTGACTTCTTGGATAGGAATACAATACTTCTGTTGTCTACGACTGACCACTGTTAAGATGGGGAGACAATGCAGTTATAAGGGCTAAGGAAAGAGGCTTTGGAGTACAAAGGAAGTAGGCTTAAAATCCTAACACTGGACATGTAATAGATATGTAATTTTGGCAAGTGATTTCATTGAATTTTGGAGGGTGTGGTGCTTTGAATCAGAATGTTTCTCATAGGCTCATATGTCTGCATGCTTAGTCACCAGGGAGTGGAACTGATTGCAAGATTAGAAGATATGGCCTTGTGCCACTTGGGGTGGGCATTGAGGTTTCAAAAATCTATGTCAGGCCCAGGCTTCCTCTTTCTGCTTGCAGATCAAGAAGTAACTCTCAGATATTTATCCAACGCCACACCTACCTTCCTATCTGCCTGCCGGCTTGTGTGCCTGCCTGCCACTGTGTACCCTGCCATGACGACAAACAATGGACTAAGCCTCTGAAACTACAAGCAACCCCTGAATTAAATGCCTTCTTTTCTAAGAGTTGTCTTGGTCATGGTGTCTCTGCACAGCAATGCTAGGGTGACTAAGACAGAGGAGTACAAGTGATTTTTTTAATGTCTCAGTTAAAATCTCTTAGAATCTTGGTTTCTATGCCTGTAAAATGCAGATAATTTCATGGAGTCTTGTGAGGATTAATAAAACAATCTATGTAAAAGGTTTATCACTGTATTATCATTTAGTAGGAGCTCAATAAATATTCATGACTACTTCTATTACAACTACTTAGAATATAGCAGTGTGGTGGCAGTGCTATTAGAGATGTTAGTAAGAATACCAACTGTTAGCTGCCATTGCTTGCTGTGGTACTTTGAATGTAATTGGGCCCCCATAATCTTATAGAGGGTGGCACTATTAGAAGGTGTGGCCTTGTTGGAGGAAGTGTGTCACTGCGGGTATGGGCTTTGAGGGTTCCTGTTTCCTATGCTCAGGATACCACCCAGTCTGCTTCCTGTTGCCTGCAAGATGTAGTAGTCTCAGCTACTCCTCCAGCACCACATCTGCCTGCTCCCCATTATGATGATAATGGATGGAACCTCTGAAACTGTAAGCGAATCACCCCAATTAAATGTTTTTCTTATAAGAGTTGCCATGGTCATGGTGTCTCTTCACAGCAATAAAAACCCTAACCAAAACAGATATCTCTTGATGAGATAGACAGGAAGTAAAAAGCAAAGGAAATGAGAAATACAAAGGGTCTCCAGCTGGGAAGGAACGCTGCTGATGGGAGGCAAGTGGTAGCAGCTGGCTCAAGGCAAGAAGAAAAGATGGGGGGAAGTGGAAATATGAAAGTGCGCGAGAAATAAATACAGGGGCAATTTTGCTCAGTGCTAGTGATGGAGTCTTGGATTGTGCCCTCGATATATAGTCCAAAGAATGAAAGAATGAGCCAACTACCTCCATAAACTGCCTGTGAAACTTGCCTATCCATTTCAAACCCTGCACTACACTGGGCTACATTTCTCATTTCTAGGGGAGGTTATTTACTCCACTAAGCCCACTACAGAATTCTTTCTGTCTCTTAGTCAATATATCACCTTTGTACCTGAGTTGATCTTTAAAAGAAAGCCCACTGCTGAGAAACTTAAGAAGTCAGTGGGTCTTACGATAATACCTATTTTTCCTGCTGACACAATTGTGAGCCCCTTAGCCTCAATATTGCCGACAGAGCACATGCCAGTTCAACCCATAACAATTACTTCAGATTCAGAGGAGATAACAGAGGCAAATGAACTTTTAAAAAGTTCAAAATGGTATGGGGCAGGTTACTGAAGATGCTCCCCATAAAGTACCAAGACTCAATGCTGCGAATGGAATCCATTTCTAGCCAGACCATCAAGAGAGATTACTTACTTACGCCTCTTGGTAGTTGATAATAAAGGAAAGGAAATTTGTCCTCCTCTTGCCTTGAACTGTTCAACCAGAATTTCACTGTTGATTTTTCTAATATCCCTATGCTTTGGCATTGACCACAGTCATTGCAATTTTGGTATCCACTCCATCAAAATGATTTTTCGCAGCTATAACCCATTGTACCACATCATCACATTTTTTTTTCTTTGCACAGAGCAGCAATTGTTACTTGAATGGAATAATGGTTATTTATGTCTTTCCAAATCTTTCCTTAGCTCCAGTCCAATCTGTTTCTACTCAACTGACCAGAGAGCTCTGAAGTACTATGGCTAGAAGGATCAAGTCCATGAACCTGGATAGAGGTGGGGAATGACATCTTTATTTCATTAACTTCTAACAAAAATACAGCATTTAAAAAATTATGAATGAGGGCAACACATTTTGGGAATACTAGCAGTATATGTGACTCGGCCCAAAGAAATCATAGCCATTTTTATATCACACTGATTTAGTGCCAATATCTTGAAATATATTTTTGTTCATCACTACGCAAAATTACCTTCTAATAAGAATGACCGCTAAGCTGTATTTAAAAAGCACACACTGCTCAATCACATGAAGACATTTTATAACTGTTTCATTATAATTGATTTCCTTTATAATGCTGTATTTTTTTATTTTATGCGTTTTAAACATTTTGAGGAAAGGTCTATAAACTTTCACTACGCTGGCACATATGCTTCACACAAGGTGCTGAAAAGCCAAAAATGCCTGGCTGTAGACGGTCCTGGTAACTCCGTTATTATTCTTGTTACATTTTTGTGTTAGTTAGAACCCCCTTTCCACTAGCTTTAGCATAATGAAGAGTTGTTCTTAATGTTCCTAGAGTGCTTCCCATCCAAGCGCACTGACAGCTCAGAAAAGATGGAGAACGCATTGCAGAAGTTCTGTTGATCTGCATAGACTAAGTTAGACAAAAGGAGAAATCTCAATACGCTTTCTTGCATTTTGCTATAAATCCCTCTAGCTGTTGTTTTTCTGCCCTGCCTGCCATCTGGCCCCTCCCTCTCTGAGACAGACCCAGAAGTGCACTTGAGGATGAGGAAAGTGCGCATGAGCAAAGTCTGCTTTTCCTGATGCTGAAGCCACTTCCCCCCTTTCCTAGATGCAGGGTAATTCGCCTTCCTCATGAAACTGTTCTTTCACAGCCCCCTTCCTAGAGAAAGAAGGAAGGGCCTGAAATTCACACTAAAACTTGAGAATGTTACAGCGCCATCTTTTGGGGGACAGGACAAAGAAGGGAGACCCTTTCCCCTCAGACTCAGGAAAGCTATCAAAGGTACCCTTTCTACCCTCGACCCTTGTTCCTGCCCTAATGGACAAACTGTCCTTATGTATTTAATGGGTCTATGTCACGTCACAAATATTCTTTCTGCCAAACGCCTACCAAAAACTTAGGAAATTTCAGTCCAGAGTCCAGCTTGAGTGACATTCTGGTCATGACCTCTTCTCATATTTTCACACGAAGTTATTGTGCATCTGCTCTGAGATGGCACTCAGTACTCTGACCACAGCCTCAATATCTGTGCCCGGCTCTCCTGATAAAATATGGTGCTAAACTTGTTCTGGGACGTCACCAGATGTTCAAGCCTATCAACAAATCTACTTTTTCCTCCAATCTCTCCTGATGTCATGACCTCGTTAGCTAGCTGAGATCCCATGTTGCCCTCTGCAAGCATTTATTTCACAATACTGGATTTGGGAGACCGCAGTGACTCTATTTCCATCTTGACTCAAGGTTGGAGGGTTCTAGCTTGCCAAGCTCAAATAACAGAATGTTTGGTCGAAGGTGTGGGCACTAGAAGTTTAGTTTCTCAAGGCCAGGTAACAAGATGTTTGACTAAGGGCACAAGTACTAGATGTTTTGAGAATTAAGGAAGTAACTGCAATTATTTGTTCCTTGTTTCATGGTAAGAAAGTCTTTTACCGGCCCCTTTTGC